ATCGTGGAATTGTTTAGGCTGGGAAAGCCCTCTGAGATCGGAGTGCAACTCCCCAGGGGTCACATCCGCTGCTTTTGCTGTTGTATCCAGCAAAAGGCTGGGAGAAGGCTGTAAAAATTCCTCTTTGGATCCTATCTACGACTCCATTTGGGAGAAAATCCCCCCCCCCCGAGATTTATCAGCTCTGCCTCTGTGTGGGATATTTACCCAGGAATACCCACAGTGCTGCCTTTGTGCTTCCAGAGGGTTTATATTGCAGCAGGACTTGTTTTCCCCTTTCCTCCTCAGCCAGGATAAATCCCCCCCCCAGCCTGGTGGGATCTGACTTCCCTTGGGATGAGTCAAAACCTCCCTGATCCCCAACAGCCACTGGCATTTTTTCCACGTGTTTTCCTTCGCAGCCGTGTGGCTCTGGGTGGAATTCCGATTGGCTGCCCTGTTTTTAATCCAGGCTTTTCCTTTCCCAACCCTTTTTCCGTGTTTTTTTCTTTGTGTCCAGGTGGGAACAAACACGATGGATAACCCCCTGCTCAAATACAGCGCCAAGGAATATTTCTTCAAAGCCGCCCTCTGCCACTTCATCGTGGACGAGCTGAATGCCAAGGTCGGTTATCCCAGAATTCCTGATCCCCCCTCATGACCCTGGGCTGGCTGGGAGGAGCTCAGTGGGCTCACAGCCCTCATCCCAAAACCCCTGACCCCTCCTCCTCAGGGATTTGTGTGGCTGTCACACGGGCGGAATCTTTACACACCACAGTGTCCCGTTGGAATTCTGGTGGATAACTTCCCCAGGTTTGAGGATGGGAAGGCAAATCCTGAAAAAAAAAATCCCCAGGAACTGTGTGTGAAGGGTTCTCTTCTCTCTTCCAGCTCGCACTGGAGAAATACGAAGAAATGTTCCCGGCATTCACAGATTCCCGGGAATGCAAGCTATTGAAAGTGAGTACACCAGGGTGCTCTTTTGCACTTTTCCATGATTTTTCTCACTTTTCCCAACATTTTAGAGGACATCAGCCTCGCTGTGCCCTGGGTTTGGCCCTGACCTGGGTGTTTTCCATGGGACATGTGGGATGAGGTGCCGGAGTGGGAACATGCACTGGCAGAGCCTTTCCTCATTTTTCCTGGTGTTTTCCTAGAAACTGCTGGAAGCCCACGAGGAGCAGAACAGCGAGGCCTACACCGAGGCAGTAAGTGGGCATGGATTCCCTTGGGAATGGTGGCTCCTTCCTCCTCTCTCTTTTGGGATCTGTGTGCCCTGTTCCAGGCCAGGGAAGCTGTGGAGAGGGGCTGGGAGCGGAGCTGCTCCAGCAAGGCCCCAGCCTCCTACTTCAAAATTCCCAGTTTTTCATGGAGAGTTAAGTAAAGATCCCACCTGGGTTTGCTCCAGCTCCTTTGGGGTTTGACAGGGGCTTAAAATGCTCTGGGTGGGCTTGGAGAGACTTTTCCCTGTGCCTTTTCCCTTTTTTTCCCACTTTTTTCCCTCCTGTCCTTTTTTTTCCTCCTTCTCCTTTTTTTTCCCCCTTTCCCCCTTTTCTCCCTTTCCTCTTTTTTCCCCTTTTCCCCCCTCTTTTTTCCCCATTTTCTTCCTCTTTTTTCCCCTTCCCTCCTTTCTCTCCCCCTTTATTTCACCCCCTTATTTTCCCTCCTTATTTCACCCCTTTTTCCTTGCCCTTTCTCCCTTTTTTCCCCTCCCTTCCCTCCCCGGTTTTTCCACCATTTTCCCCCCTCTTTTTTTCCCCCATATCTTCCCCCTCTTTATTCTCCCCCCTTTCCCATCATTTTTCCTCACCCTTTTCCCCCCTTTTTTTCCTGCCCTTTTTCCCCACTCTTTTTTTCCTCTCCTTTTTTTCCACCCTTTTTTCCATCTTTTTTTTTCCACCCCCATATTTTCCCCTTTTCCCCTTTCTTTCCCCCCTTTTCCCCCCCCTTTTCCTCCCCTTTATTTCACCTCCTTATATACCTCCCCTTTTCCCCCCTTCCCTTCCCTCCCTTTATCTCCCTCTTTTTTCTCCCTCTTTTTCCCCTCTCTTTCCCTCCCCTTTATTCTCATTCTTTCCCTTTCCCCCTTTTCCCACCCACTTTTTTCTCCCCTTTATTCCCCCTTTTTCCCACCTTTTTCACCCCCTTATCCCCCCTTTATTCTCCTCCTTTCCCTTTTTCCCCGCCCTTTTCCCCCATTTTTTTCACCCCCTTATTTCCCTTCTTTCTCCAGCCCTTTTTTTCTGCCCTCTTTTTACCCTTTCCCCCTTTTTCTTCCCCTTCCCTCCCTTCCCCCCCCCCTTTTATCCCCCTCCTTTCCCTCCCTTTTCCCTCTGTTTTTCCCTCTTTTTTCCCACCCCTTTATTTTCCCTCCCCTTATTTCCCACCTTCCCTTTTTTCCCCCTACCCTTTTTGCCCCCCTTATTTTTCCCCCCTTATTTTTCTCACCCCTTTATCTTCCCTCCCCTTATTTCCCCCCTTCCCTTTTCCCCCCCCTTATTTTTCCTCCCTTATTTTCCCCCCCTTATTTTCCCTGCCTTATTCCCCCTGTTCCCCCTCCTTTCCCCCCTCCCTTTCCTTTCCCCTTTTCCCCTTCTCCTTATTTCCCGGAAAGCCCGAAGTGTTTCACTCCTCGCTCCCGCCGTTCCAGCCTCTCTCCCTTTTCTCCCTCCCTGCCTGATCCCGGTTTTCCTCCGCTCCAGGTGAAGGAGTTCGACTCCATCTCGCGGCTGGACCAGTGGCTCACCACGATGCTGCTGCGCATCAAGAAAACCATCCAGGGGGAAGGGGACGGCGACCTCAAGTGACGCCCGCGGGCTCTTCCCGCCCGGCCGAGGACTATTCTGGGATACCTGGCCCTCCCCCCCCCTCGCTTTTATCCCGTCGCTTCCCAACTCCCGGCTCCCCGCGTGTCCCTTTAGCTCCCGCTCGTTGTGGTGAGGCCGGGCCGGGCGGATCCGGCGGATCCGAGGCGGGATCCGCTTCCTCCTCGGCTCTGGTGCTGCTCCACCCGGCGCCTGCACCCGCAGCTCCCGGTTTTCCTGCTGTTCTCCTGATTCCAGCATGTACATCTTTGGTCCAGGCCAGCGCAGCACAAAGTAATCGCTTCCGACCCCGTCGTGTTGTTCCCATTTCCCCTGCTGGATACACTTGGATTTGGGGTTCTTTAAGCATTTTTTTTTTTCCCCGGTGCTAGTGAGAGGCTTTGGGATTTGGGAACCCCCCCCCCCCCCCCCCCCCCCAACATGCTGCCCTAGTGCCGGAGGCATTCCAGGCTTGGGAACAGGAGCGCCGGGATCGGTGCTGGCCCCCACGGAGCCCCAGTCCAGGGCTGGTTTTTATCTCAGTATCCAGCGCAAGGTTCTTCTCGGATGGATTTTCCCACTTTTACTTTGTGGTGTGTCCCATCCCTCCATCCCCAGAATAACTTCCACATGAGTAATAATCTATTTTTCTACCTTTCTCTCCGCGTGTGCTGGGAAAAATCCATTAGTTCCGGCCCCCCCCCCCAAAGGTGTTGGCTGAGACCTGACATCCCACGGGAGCCTTGTTGGAACAGTGGGTGCCAGGTGCTGCTTGGAAAAAAGGTGGAGACACGTTGAAAAATTCCTGCTGGAATGTATAGGTGTGTTTCAAACCACGTGGGGAGCGAGAGAGGATCGAGCTGCCTCTTTTTTTTTTTCCGTGGATATATGGGAGTCTGTGCAATTTGTCACTCGGTTTTCTGTGCCAGGAGTGAGGAAGTCATTCATTAAGGGCTGCTTTGGTGGGTCCAGGCAGCCCCAGCCCCACGTTTCTCTGGAAAAAAGAGAGAATTTGGGGGGGGGGAATTTGCACTTTGGTTGGAATTTTGGTACTGGGACAGAGCAGGGCTTGGCTCGGTGGGTGTCACTCTAGAAAGTGGCACTTGGTCTGTGCCACGAGCTTCTGAAAACCAAAAAAAAAAACCCTGATCCATGCCAAATTATTATTGTTATTATTGTTATTATTATTATTGTTCCTGCCCTTCCCGCTCCCTTCCTTCCCACAGGCTGTTGTGTAATCCCAAGTGGAGGGGAAAGCCCGGGGTTTAGGAGGTGATCTCCCAGCTCAGTTAATTCACTCCCACCCTTAGCAAAGGCTTTGTTGTGTCCGGGATTAGGGGAAAGCACAGGCTGGGAGGCTCCACTTTTTCCCAGTGTTTTTTATTTTTTAGGCCTTGTCCTGTTCCCTCTCCCCGTTGTCAGTATTAAGCACAGGGGCTGTAGGACACGGGTGGAGCAGAGGGGTCTGTTCCTACACCCCCTACACCTGTTAGTTGTGTGTGAGTAGGCTCAGCATGTCCTCCGGTGTATCCATGGTGAACTGTGACGGTTTCCAGGTGACAATCCGCCACTTACTCCGCTGTATTTCCCCCCCCAACCCCCCCCACTTCCATCACTCTCTACTCGGAAAACTTATTAATGAAATGGCCTTAGCAGGAATATCATGTTTTGTGTGACTCTGTACATGAATAAAGTGAAAATCATGGATGTAAGGAGAAGGAGAAGTGGTTTTTCTGGGAAAGGCAAGAGGCTGGAGCCTGGTGGGATGATGGAGGTGAGCAGGTGCAGTGTTTCCTTCAATCCCTGTTTGGAATCACAGGATGGTTTGGGTTGGAAGGGACCTTAAAGCCCATCCAGTTCCACCCCCTTTCCCCCATCCCAGGTTGCTCCAAGCCCTGTCCAACCTGACCTTCAGCACTTCCAGGGATCCAGGGGCAGGCACAGCTTCCCTGGGGAAACTGTTGCAGGGCCTCACCACCCTCCCAGGGAAGAATTTCTTCCTAATATCCAACCAAAATGTCCCCTTTTTCAGTTTGAAGCCATTCCCTCTTGTCCTGTTAGTCCAGCCCCTCTCCAGCTTCCTTGTAGGCACCTTCAGATCCTGGAAAGCTGCTCTGAGGTTTCCATGGAACCTTCTCTTCTCCAGGCTGAACATTTCCAGCCTGTCCCTGTGCCAAAGCGTCCCCCCACCATCAGACCATCCAGTCACCAGAAGGGTCTCAATATTCCCATATTTTAATAAGAACAGTTAAACAGTAACTCACTTCCATACATTCCCGGGAGTACAAAACTTTCCCTGGCTCCAGTTCCAGACGCTCAGGATTTAAATATATCTACAGCCTCTTCCCATCGGTCACCGGGGGCAACTGAGCTTCACCAGGAATAAATATTTCAAATATAACCTCTTGGAAATGCTCTCTTTTTTAAAAAAAAAAAATTCCCTTTTTTTTTTTTTTTCTACATTAGAATTCCATGGCAACACCTCCGGCATCCCTTTAGGATCAAAAATAGCTCTCTGTGCCACAGGAGTGTGTGGGGGGGTGTGTTTATTGCTGGACAACAGGCCCTTCAACACCAGGGTGGATTGTGCTCACCTTTCCCAAAGTTTTGCTCACAGCTCCAGCTGAGAAAGTTTCTGTGGGAATACTACGGTAACAGGCAAAAAGAAACAGGAAAATCATCTGGAAAAGACGCAGGTTTTTACACGGTGCCAACTGGGAAGCTGATCCCGAGGTTTTGAAGCATTAAACCACAGCAGTGAGTTGCTGTTCCCAAAAAAGATTCATCCCTGTCAGATGACAACTCTCAAAGGCTCCTTCCCCACCCAGGGAAAATACCCAAATACCCCGAATCCTATTCCAATAAAATGGAGCAGCAGGTGCCAGTCAGGAAAAGCCTCTGAACTGAACCTTTTCCAGAATGGTTGGTTTTCCCAGACATTTTTCCAAGAGATGTTTTGGTCTCTAAGTGCCCACTTCCATGTGAGCTGGAGCAGCTGGAAGGCGAAGACTGAAGTGCCAGACTGCTCCAGTTTTCATGGAAAAGTGGAAAAAACAAACCAGCACTTGGCTTCCACCTGCTCCTTTTGCTACTTAAAGAGACTCAAAACTCCTGGAAAGAGACTCCAAAGCTCCCCCTCGTATTCCCAAGGAGTGAGCTGGCTCACTGCTGGGATCTTTGGCGACAGCAGAGGGAAACCAAGGTTTCCTGGAAAGCAGTTTGGCCAGACCTATCTCCTGGATGAATTTCTGCTGGGGAAAATGCAGTGAATGTCACGGAGAAACACGACCTCGGTTCTCCTGATTGTCCACGTGGCATCAAATCACCTGGAAAACAAACCTGCACCACCTTTATAAACCCACCTGAACACGGTCCCCGAGCCACCCCTTCTACTCCCAGGGAATCCACGCCCAGGGATTCCCGGCAGAGTGACCTTGAAGTGTCGCCCTGCCGAACCTCCAGGAGATGGAGCTGTGGGACGAATTTTCAGAGGAATCAGGAAAATCCACTCCCACCTGCTTCCCACCACCAGCTTCCCTCAGGCAAAGGGCTTCATACAAGGGGTGCAGCTGAAGGAGTGGCAGCAAATCCCGAGCTATTCCATGTTCACCAGAGCGTGGAGCTGTGGCTGGACAGAGTCCGGCTGCGCGTGGAGCACCGCGAGCTCGCTCAGCGTGGTTCCCATCAGGGCTTCCTGCGATCCCGGCCCTCCGGAAGACTTACAGTCTGTGCCAGCAGTCCCACTGCCCGGGGCGGCTGCCAGGCTCTGGTAGGGGGTGTTCCCAGGGAAGGACAGCAGCTTCTCCGGGATCTTGGGGGACACGGCGTACTCCTCGTCGGGAAGCTCCGTCTTGTGGGCGTCGTCGTTCTTCGACGATGCTCCTTCCACGATGACAAGGAAGGACTTCCAGGGGGTGTTTTTATCGTGGATCTGGAAATGAGGAACCAGGAAAAGAGAAGGCTGGACACAAGACGACAAGGGAGAAGTTTGGACCCAGCTTGTACCTGACGCTGGCAGAAAATTCTATTTTTGGGACCACGGAACGGTTTGGGCTGGAAGGGACATTAAAGATGATTCGGTGTAAAGATGATGGCAGGGATACCTTCCACTAGGCCAGGCTGCTCCAACCTGGCCTTGGACACTTCCAGGGATGTGGCAGCCACAGCTTCTCTGGGCAACCTGCGCCAGGGGCACCTCCCCACCCTTGCAGGGAAGGATTCCTTCCCAGTATGGAGCAAGTCCAGAGGGGAGCAATGAGGCTGGGGAAGGGACTGGAGCACAAGTCCTATGAGGAGAGGCTGAGGGAGCTGGGGCTGTTCAGCCTGGAGAAGAGGAGGCTCAGGGGAGACCTCCTCACTCTCTACAACTCCCTGACAGGAGGGGGGAGCCAGGTGGGGGTTGGTCTCTTTTCCCAGGCAATGATCAGCAAGACAAGAGGGCTTGGTCTCAAGTTGTGCCAGGGGAGGGTTAGGTTGGATATTAGAAAGAATTTCTTTCCAGAGAGGGTAATCAGACACTGGAATGGGCTGCCCAGGGAAGTGGTGGATTCACCATCCCTGGAGGTTTTTAAGAAGAGACTGGATGTGGCATCAGTGCCATGGGCTGGGAACCACGGCGGGGCTGGATCAAGGGTTGGACTCGACGATCTCAGAGGCCCCTTCCAACCCAGCTGATTCTGTGAGTCTATGAGTCTATAATTCTATGATATCCCACCCAAGCCCGTTCCCCTGACCCTGGCAGCCCCCAGGAGGGCCGTACCGAGGTGTGCCGGCGCAGCGTGGACTTGTCGGTGAAGGTCCTGCCGCAGGCGTTGCACATGAAGGGTTTCTCCCCGGTGTGGATGCGGTGGTGCCGCTGCAGCGCGTTCAGCTGCGTGAACTGCTTCCCGCACTGGTCGCAGCAGTACGGCCGCTCCCCTGGGACACAGAGGGTGTTAGAGGGCTGGCACAGCGGGACACTGAGCCCTGGGAATCCCCAGCGACCACGGGGATCTCTCCAGATGCGCCAAAAACTCTCTTTTTGGGGACAAATCCCGCTTTCCTCCTTCCCCGGTCAGCGCAGGAGCTCGGAGCTAAACCAGGACACTGATTACCCTGGCTGGTTATTAACAGCACCTCCACAGCCCTCGGAAGTGTGCCAGGGAATTGTGAGACCGAGCAAGAGTTCTGAGCTGCTGGAATTCTGTTCTGAGGGGATGTTCCAGCCCCTCGCTCTGAGGAAATGCAACATTAATGTTAAAGGGACAAGGGGCACCCTGTTCCAGAGCTCTGCCTACCTATGTTCTGTACTAATGAAAAGAGAACAGAAAGGACAACTCAGTAGTCATGAATTAGATAGAAAGGACATCTGGGGAGATAAACAGCTGAATCAGGGGGGCTTTTCCCAAGTTCCCAGTACATAGTCAGGAAAAGTTCATGACAAAGAGGCTGAAGGACTGGAAAGACCACCAGAGGACTCCCTAAAAGGACAGCTCCGTCTCAAGCTCTGCCTATTACGAATATGATAATTAGATTGTGAAATTAAATTAATGTGCACGTGTAGATGTTGTAACCACTCATAAAATCTGTACCAATTACCTGGCTTTTCACTGAGAACTTGGGAGCCAGTTTGGCTGGCTGGTTCCCCAACGTTGCTCAAAATAAATACCTTTGCTGCTTAAAAGACTCAAAACTGTCTCTGGGCAGTCTCATTTCTGCCAATTTTGGCATCAACTGCCATCCCTCAGGAAGAAGTAGTGGCACCAAGAATCAAGCCGATGCAGGCAAGGCGGGAATTCGAGCCTTGGGGAAAAAGCCTGGGGGGGGAAATTCCCTGCTGGAATGTTGCAATGGCATGTGTCAAATAAAAAGGAGCACATCCTACCTGTGTGGACTTTGATGTGCTGGTACAGGGAGTTCCTCTGGGCGAAGGTCCGGAAGCAAACCTCGCACTTGAAGGGTTTGGATCCCGTGTGGATCCGGTTGTGGTGCTTCAAGTATTCCTTGGAGGCAAAGCTCTTCCCACACGTTTCACACATGAAAGGCCTTTCCCCTAAAAAAGGAGGGAGAAAAGGAGAATTAAACCAACAAGGCTTTTGGGAATGCTCTTAAAACATCCCAGCCAAAACTGAGGGATCTTGTGGATCGTGTCCTCCCTCCAGGGTCTGAGGGGGCCTTTAAAGGTCACCCAGTCCCAAATCCTGCTGTGGGCAGGGACACCTTCCACCTAGCCCAGGTTGCTCCCTAGCCTGGAACACTTCTAGGAATGGGGAATCCATAGCTTCTCTGGGAAAACTGTTCCAGTGCCTCACCACCCTCAGTGGGAGGAATTTCTTCCTAGTACCCAATTTACATAAACCCTCCTTCAGTTTAAAAATCACAGAATATCCCAAGTTATCGGGTACTCTGAGCTTTCTCAGGAAAACCACATCTAGAGACGACGGCATCCCATTCAATATAAAAAAAAATCAACAACAAAAAAAGCATCTTCTGAAGGCAAGACGGTTTCCAGCTTTCCTGGAATGGTTTGTCTGGTTTTTTTTTTTCCTCCCCCCCGGCTTCCAGGCCTCCTCCGACCCGGATCCCGCGGTGCCCGACGGCTCCTCACCTGTGTGGCAGCGTCTGTGATAGATGAGCATGTGGTTCTGAGTGAACCGGGCCCCACACTCATCACAGACAAAGGGCTTTTCCCCCGTGTGGATTCTGAAAGGAGAGAGGAACGTTCAAACACCAGGTCGAGGCTCTTCCCTCCACAGAACAACCAGAGCCGGGTGGGGGCATTCAGGGCTGGTTTGTCGCTGGATCAATGCCCAGGCCTGGGAATTTTAGGGTAAACCCAAATTTTTAAAGGTATTTTTCAAGGTAAAACAGAGGAGAGTTTAGGGAATTTCTCTCCAGGGTGTGGTGCCCGTCCTTTGGGATGTGAGGGGAAGCGCAGCGAGGGTTTTGGGATAGCCGGTTTTCACACATCCACGGGGAGAGGACAGATGGCAAAATACATCCCAAAAGATAAGGAATTAACACAGCACCGGGTTTCCAGCGTTCAGCAAGACTCCTGGCAACGGGACACGACAGAGAGGAAATTCCACTTATGCCCCAAAAATAATCTTTAGGCGGATCAGCTCATTTCCTTGGGCAGGTAAAGCTCTGGGAACGGATAAAATCAGGTTAAAGCCCCTCAGAGATGATTTTTTCCCCTCATAAAAATGCCCTGAGAGTGATGGAAAAACTGAAAAAATCAGGTTCAATCCTTCAGGGATGACTTTTTCCCTGAAAGAAAAGTCTCTGCCCTAACAGAAATGAA